TATGTATGTATGTACGTACGTACCTTACATATATACATACACACATACATACATACATACATACATACATACACACACATACATATTTTCTTTTTTTTTTTTTTTCTAACATTGTTGGTTTTGTTCTTTCCATGGGATTTGCTGACAGTGAGAAAATATAGAATAACACCTGACTTATAATTTAAGGAAAATTCTGTCATTCTGTCATTGGATGGACGGAGACAGAGCTGCTTACCTTCTTGGCTCCAGTCAAAGCAGCTTTTGTCAGCTTCCTGTAGCAGTATTTAGCATAGCTGCTAATAGCCACTCCTGCAGAGAAAAGAAGGCATTTGATTCAGTTCAGTAGGTTGGGATTTGTTAATAAGGACAGGATCAGAGGTGGAGCAGCTTCAGCAGTGCTGCAGAGGAGTCTGTGACCCAGAGGGTTTTATTCATGAGGCCAGACAACAAATGGATCCTGTTTTATTTCATTAACTCAGTCTGATTGTCTGGATATTATTAAAATTCCACAAAGAAGTGTTGAAAAAGTTTAAGGTTGGTGACCATGGAAATGTGACCCTCCTGAGTAAGCCTCAAGGTGAAGTGAATCAGACCAACAACAGGTTAGTTTTCAGTTTTAGCCTCCCTTTCAGGTTGAACCGGTGTTAGACTCTACCAGTGTGAATACTGTTGTCTCCTCTACAGCACTGGTTCCCAGCCCTTCTCTTTAGGGGAGCCCTTTCCTACCAGTGAACTGACTCAGTGACATATTTTATGGATATCTCATATTATATTCAATGTATAACAATAACAGTAGAGAACAACTGATAACTACTCAGTGTCTCAATAATCAGTACTCCTGGTTCATTGGAGCTCAGGAAACAACACAGACCAGTCTGATTTGAGGAGGTGGGAAGTAACTGAGTACAAATATGTGTTACTATATTTCAGCAGTTTTGTCAGGTATCTGTACTTTACTTGAATATTCCATATCTACATTAATACACAAATACTTTAACAGGCTTGTTACATTAGTTTTAATTATTTGAGGGAAATGAATTTCATTATTGTTTTTGCATTATTGCACGTCTTCCCATTATCAAGACTGTAGCATATCACGCACGACAAACGTAATGATGTAAAAGGTGTAACAGACAAGAGAGGGAGATTCGTCCCTTTTTGAAGTGTCAGTTAGCTTTGCACAGAAACAGACAGTAGAAATGTCCCTCAGAGAAACCAAGGGAGGACTTTTTACTTTTACTTGAGTAAAGATGTGTGTACTTTCGCCACCTTTGCTGATTTGTGATTCATCCTGTTCAACATTGCTCAGCTGATGAGAGTAAACTGTTATTCAGCCCATCTACCTGTAGGGGACAGCAGAGCACCAGTACAGCTTTATTCTGCCTGACATTTGAGCACAAAGCAGACACAGGAGCGCCTTTAAAACACACTAAGGTAGATTATTGAAGACAACATTGCTGATGTCTCTCACTATCTCTCCTGCTCGTAGACAGCGGCTGTGGGATGTTATTTTGTAGCTAACATGTTATTTGTTGGCCTTCACAGAATGCAGCAACTGATATTCTACATGGGATTTGGGTTTGCAGGTTATTGATTTCCTGCTTAAAGTAAGAGTAGTAACTGGTCTGAAGATATTTGTAAGATTGAATATCTGTATCAGTTTCCCTCTTATCTGTTATTTCATCCTGGAGTTCCCTGAAGACTGTCCTCAGATCAATATCCATCCATTATCAAAACCTCAACCGTTCTATTCCCTTCTAACATCTTCACAATGCGTGTGGTTTGGCCATTGTAATGCCAACAAAGTAAGTGGTATTCCACAGATAACTTCCCTCATTCTATTTTCTGTATTTTTGTTCATATTGTAAGTATGAAAATGTCAATCTCAACATTCAGTCCTGTTATCTAAATTAATATGTGGCAATCAGGGGCAGAGCCAGACAGTATAAACATTTTATTTAACTTTTTTTTTTTCGCTAGAGCGCGAAATGTCCAGAAACTACGTTTTCGTGTTCCATCTATGCGCTTTTGTCCGATTCGCACGAAACTTTGCACGTAGCATCTGGAGACCGTCCTAGCAAAAAAAGTTTAATTTAAAGTATTTTGATATTTCAAAAAATATAAAAAGTTATAAAATAAAATTAGCACTTTCTGTAGATTTTTCATCAAAAAAGGACATGCACCATTTCTCCACATTGGTATGTCCGATTGACACCAAACTTGGGTCCATAGTTCCACATGTCTTCCTTAGGCATCGTGCACAATTTCAGGCCATCGCCACAAGGTGGCGCTCTTTAAAATGAAGAAGTTTATATCTCCGCATCGGCACATGTGATTAAAACGAAACTTGGTAGGATGATTGCCCATGGCTCCCTAATGCTCGCTACAAATGTGTCAACAATCCGCCACTAGGTGTGTTCCTAAGTGGTAGGGGGGTGAATCACTGTGCGGAGACCGTAATAGTTATGAATGAAATTCACCGGGCACGTGTAGATTGGTGCCTGTAGCTCACATGCCAAAAATCGTGTTTGTCGGGTTTGTTGCGCCCCTACAGGATTTAAAAAGCAGCCGGCGCCACGTTTCACCGATATGTATGAAATCGTAAGGCACGTGTAGCCCGGTAGGCACGTGTAAGGTGCCGAGACGTACAAAAAAGCCTCTTGGACCCATACCCCAAACCCCACGGGAAGTCGGCCATTTTGATTTTCATTTTCACTTTCGGCGAACTTTTCGCGTTGTATTTGAACGAACTCCTCCTAGGGAATTCATCGGATCTGCTTCAAAATTGGTCTGTACAGTCAAAGTATGTTGCTGATTAAAAGTTGTGCTATTTGTGCATGTATGTTGAAGGGCGTGTCCGTGGCGTGCCGTCAAAGTTGGCCATTTTGAATTCCGTGCTCATTTTCGGTTCTCTCCACCCTTTAGATCTGATTTCCCTCTTTTCCCCCCAAACCACACAGATAAGAACAAAGAGAACCTGTTGTGAGTTTAACATAGACTTGTTCACCTTTAAAATATGATTTAATGTGTTTAAATGCATACTGTTTTGAAGTTAACAATTTGTGTTCATTCTGTATTCTAGAAAGTTTTCCTTTTTGTTTAGAAAAAAAAGAACATAACACCAGATTGTGGATGCATTAATGATGTAAGTTAAACGATCTAATTTAATTCTTATTAGTAGTTTTTGTATGTAATTATTCAAATGTATGTATTTCTTTAATATTCTTTTTGTATAGAAAAAATCATCCATCTGTGAAAACCATACCCACTAACTAAAATAAGCTGTTGAAACGGATTTCTGGATCCTGTGTTTAAATGTGCACACCACATAGGATGTTCAGTGAGCCAACACAATAGCTTTTTCATTGTAGGTTATTTGAGTGCTGTTGAATAGTTATGATTTGGTTTGGTGTGTATGGTTTATTCTTAATTTGCCTAAATATTTTGCTACAATTCATTTTTATGCATGTTTTCTTTTGTTGACTTAATTTTGATTAATGTATGAATTATATTTGCTCCCTTCCCTAACTTCTTATGCGGTATAAATAAATTCTATATTTTGATACAGCAGTCTCTGGTTCCAGGTTATTCTGGCACTTGAGCATTGAGTAGCACTGGGTCACATTAAGAGGAAGAAGTCGTAGAAGAAGTTAGACCCACCAATACGACACCCCTGTCATCACTTGGAATGGTTATATGGTAGCCCAACATCTCCACAGTAGCTGAACGTACAAAGGAACCTTCAGCGTTACCACGGAGCTCATTCTTAGTAGTCACAGTTACTTCTGGCAGGGAGGGATCAAGACCTGAGAAAGTAGGAATAATTTATGTTAATGTTGGCAAAATGATGTCAACTATATAAAAAAAGATTATTTTGGCTTTAATTGCCTCATTGCTGGGGAGAGAGAGGGGTGGCATGACATGCAGCAAAGGGCCACAGGTTGGAGTCGAACTGCTACGTTAAAACCCCTATTGTAATTTTTCTATCTTTTAAAATACCAGCTTTAAAATCCTTTTGACATTACACTGAACTGTAATAGGGTGAATGCTGCCGCTGTCATTCATACTCTGCACCCCATACACATGTTCTTTTGTCTCTGGGTTGGAACAAGTGCGTAACACACCACCATCACACATTTTTGGGTGAAACTGAATAATTGTTTATGAAGAAAATGTTTTCTGGTTTACCCTCTGATGTCCTCCGACTGCTCAGCCTCAATTATCTGTGACTCTCTGGCAGGTGAACTGCCATGGTGCCCAAAGCGTGTCCATTTTTATTAACTGCATGATATGTGTATGTGTCATGCACTTTTTGACTTTACAAACTGAGTTTTGTATATCCTGTAGCCCAGCTTTGGTTGATTTGGAAAAACATGATTCACAACAGAGGACAAAGTGCATCAAGTTTGGTTGTTTGTACCAATTTTTATATATTTAACTATATCTTGGTATCTTCCCATGCTTCACATCTAAAATCTTTGATATTAATGCCTCTATAAAAATTTGCTACATGTCACCTGGTTAGGGTTATGTGGTGCATCCGTGTCCCTTTGATACTTCTAAAAAAAACTGAAATAATGGACAGAGCAAAGTGCAAACCTGTGGTGTTGACAAGGATGTAAGTGCAGGTTCCCTGGAATGAGTAGCTCCAGCCATCAAATGTGGTGTAGTGTGGGTCACCAAAAGCCCAACATAAGGCCTTGGAATCAGGAATACACACTCCTTGGCCTTCTGATGCCTCACAGTGCTCCTTAACCCTGCATTCAACCTCAGAACAAGGGTCTGGAAGACACACGTATCAGTCTGTCAATTATCATTTAAGTCCAAAAATTATTTATTCAGTTTATTAAACATTGAGGAGTAGCAGACACAGGCAGGCTCCTAGTACAATTTTTTGTCTATGGACCAACTATGGAGGTGGCATTAGTTAAATTGAATGTCTGAAAAGAAAGAAAGGTAATGTTAGTTGGCTGATCTTCACCATCATCCCTGTCCCCAAAAAACCAAGGACCACAGGACTCAATGACTACAGACTTCCTGTCTGACAGGAAACAGCATGTGAAGCTGGGGAAAAATGTCTCTGACTCTCAGACCATCAGCACCAAGACTGCGTTCTTTCTCCTCTGCTCTTTTCCCTGTACACAAACAGCTGCACCTCTAGTCACCAGTCCGTCAGGCTCCTGAAGTTCGCGGATGACACCTCCCTCATTGGGCTCATCTGTGGTAGAGATGAGTTCGCCTACAGATGGGAGATTGAAAGCCCAGCAGAGGATGTACTTCCTGCGGCAGCTGGGGAAACGATGATGGTGCACTTCTACACCACCATCATCGAGTCCATCCTCACCATTTCCATCACCATCCGGTATGCTGCTGCCACTGCCAAGGACAAGGGCAGACTGCAGCGTATTGTTTGATTCGCTAAGAAGGAGAAGGAGGAGGAGGAGCAGGAGAAGCTGCAATCTGCCATCCCTCCAGGACCTGTATGCCTCCAGGACCCTGAGGCGTGCAGGCAAGATTGTGGCTGACCATCCCACCCTGGACACAAACTCTTTGAAAATTTCCCTCTGGCAGGAGGCTGCGGTCGATCAGGACCAAAACCTCACGCCACAAGAAAAGTTTCTTTCCGTCTGCAGTTGGCCTCATTAACAAGGCCCGGAACACTTGACACTGTCTCTTAAACCCACCCGTATATATGCATTGCATTAATGCACTCCCGTTGGTTTTTCTATCCTGCACATTGTTAATATCTTTTCTGTACAGTTCTTTCTATCTTTATCCTTATTTTATTTATTTATATTTTAAAAAGTACCTAATTTTTGTGTGATTTTTATGCACAAAGACAAATTCCTTGTACGTGTAAAAACGTACTTGGCAATAAACCCGATTATGATTTGAAGGCTATTCAGTCCAATTTAGCCCAGGATAATATAATATATTATAGAAATATAATATATTTTTGTGGGGCATTAAATCAGTCATTAATTAACGTAGATACAACCATTTTCTTAAGCTATAATATGTAACATTTCCACATTAAAATTTCTGTAAACACTACACCTAGACCTTTTGTGTTCATGTTCATCATCAGTCATTTCTATCTGTTCTTTCCGTTTCACTGGTTGCCTGTCAATGGCGTGATATCCCTTTTGTGCATGTTTTTATCCAGTTTTAAGCCACATTTTTACTATACAGGTTTTAGATCTTGTTTTTTTTTTATATATTTACCGGATGAAGGATTTTGGTCATTGGATGTCAGGATCTTATTAGAGAAACAAGCTGAGCGAGTTTACTTGCAGTACCTCTGGGACTCCCATTGCCTGCCAGAGAAACACTGATTTTTGAAGGTGAAACTGCTTTAATCAGTGTTTCTACTAGTTGCATGTCCATTTGTTTTGGAGAGTAGGACCTCCTTTGCTGACCTTTGCAGCTAATTTGGTTCCATGTGGGAAACTCCTGAACGATGGACACTGAAGGAATCCTAACTGGGAGAAGCTGACTGCAGTGATGGCAATGGTGGTGAATACAACAACTCCCATGATCTCATACGACTTCACAACATCATCAGTTTGTCTTTTGGTATTGTGCTGATGTAAAAGACCAGAAATTACATAATATCTGTTTGATCCTTAACTTTGCATTGCTGTGCATTGTACTATTCTCAAACTGCTAGGCCTGGCATGGGTAGGACTGCACCCACTACACTGCTTGAATGTATAGTCAACAAATATTTGAGATTTTTTGTGAATTGTTATGACATCAAAGGATAGTTTGTGCTTTACCTTTGATTAAACAGTCTGACATAGAATTATAGTAGAAGGCGCTGTATGTGATCTGAGTATGATTAGCTTAAGTTAAGAAAGGTACAGTTTGCAATATATGGGTTACTCTCGACAAGAGGTAATCTTTAGAACTGGGTGGCAAAGTGATTTAGCTTATCTCTATTCTCCTTGATGGAGCTTTAATAAATACTTCTGCAGAAGTCTGTCTCTCCTGAACCTTCTTCAATCATGGGTTAACCATCTCTCAAGATTCGAAGAACATTGAAGATATACTTTATTAATCCCCAATGGGGTAATTCTATTCTTTTTTCACTCAATGTTTACACACATAGTGTAGTGGCACTCCAGGAAAAGTTAGGGGTCAGGGGCCTTGCTCAAGGGCAGTGCCCAGGAGGTGGAACTGGCACCTTCTTGAGCTACCAGTCCAAACTTCATACTGTGGTCCATGCTGGACTTAAACAGCAACCCTCCAATTCCCCAGTCATTACAGCCTCAACTACTGCCCCAAGTGTCACCTCTCTGGACATGGAGCTCTCTGGAGCTCTGCCCTCCTGCAGCCACAGACACCAGCAGGTTAGTCAACAGTGTATTCTCTGACCCCCCTCTGCTGACAGTAAGTAAGTAAGTAAGTAAGTAAGTAAGCGTACTGAGTCATTTCCTTCGTCTTCTCTATTCCTCTCCTCCGTTAGCACCAGACCTCCTTCTTAGCACCAACGACAGGACGAATTCCTGTTTAGATAGAACGATCTATGTCTTATCATTAAAGCGGAAAACTACACCGCTGTAACGAGTAAAACCAGCAAATTTTTTTAGCATCTCACTGGACCCAGAGCTACCAACACCCAAACCAGTGCTTATACAGGAAGCAGGAAGT